GCTGCCCACCTGGTTGGATATTTTGTTAGGTACGATTCAATTGATCCATCCATTTTAGGCATTTTATTTGAATTGTTATTTTTATTATGGTTTTAGTTTTAGTTTGGTAATGTCCGTCCCCTGGTTGGCTTACCTCGGTTAAATAAAAATGGAGGCTAATCACCAGTATATGAAACCATAAATGGTTCAGTGTAGGGTCAGCTCATCAAATAACTTGAGCTAATCGGTGTCCTGGGTATATAGAATTATAAATTTATTTGGAAAATATGTTCAAGTTGATCAGACCAAAAAACTTATTTTAATCATCTAGTATCGAATAGGTAGGGTAAACACTATGGGTAAATAGTTTAGATATATGCCAAGTCGGTAGATGAGATAGGGTTTTGGGTTAAGGGTATGTAGATTTTATTTTAACTGAAGTTAAACGGTAGAGTTTTTGAATCGATATCTTTTTACGCTGGTGGCTAATATATAAAAATCAAAGTCTACCCGTTACCCAAAAAATAAAGATGAACCTTTTAAAAATTTGCTACACCAAGTTATAAGCTGCTGCTATAGATGAGCTTTGGATAGGGTTATAATAGCGATTAAGTGTAAAATTTCAATGTATCAATTGTAAATGGGGTATATGATCCCTATAAATTGACCAACTACCACATCCCACACATGGCTCCCACTTCGGATGAACTCCAATCTAAGGTTCCAAAATAGGAAACCCTATGATTTAAATCCACGGGTTACTATATGGATATGGGATGGAATGTCACCGAAAAGTTCAGGCTTAGGTTTGATGTTGTAAGCCTCAGGGTAAACCAGCTCAGTCCAAAACCTGCCCAAACTTTGGATATTTTAACTTTAGGTTTATAGGTTCGGCTGCTTTGGATATTTTAACTTTAGGTTTATAGGTTCGGCTGCTTTGGATATTTTAACTTTAGGTTTATAGGTTCGGCTGCTTTGGATATTTTAACTTTAGGTTTATAGGTTCGGCTGTCAACTTTTCTATCGGTGGTATTGGTATTACGGGCGATTCAATCCCAAAACCTTCGTAATTCACAGTTGCCCCCTCAACCCATCTCGCCGTCAATACCTTAGTATTGGTCGATTAACCCGGTGACCGTTTATAACGCCACCCCAACTTTTTTCGGATGGGGACCAAGTTATCCTCCGGGAGGTTTTTAACCTTCCCTGGAATACCTCACCCCGACTTTAAATTAACGTTAGCTTCCCTCACCCAACTGCGGAGGTATTCCGAGACCCCACCCCCACCGGCCATAAAGGGGGAGCCCAAACTGGGTCCGTTACCCGAACGGAGGTTCAACGCCAGCATCAGCGTCGAGGATAAGCGGCTCTCCCCATCCAACCTATCGATCCGCCGTAAACTTAGGCTCAACCAGCTCAGAGAGCTTAAAGGTTTCATCCCGGGCGACATTCACCCGCCGGTTGCAGCCGATCGCCTCGATATCAGATGTAAGCTCGACCGCAAGGTTGAGGACGCCCTCGAGGAGAGGCGCCTCCATAGGCGCCAGGTGTTGTAAGCTTTTATTTGACTTGGAGAGGTGCCTCCATAGGCGCCAGGTGTAAGCTTTTATTCGACCTGGAGAGGCAGGTGTTGTAAGCTTTTATTTGACCTGGAGAGGCAGGTGTTGTAGAGCTTTTATTTTATCCTATTTGGCTGAAGGGCGGTTTGAAAAGGCAAATGGGCGCCCCACCGTTAACTCTATCGGTCGAACCCAATTTATATCAACCCGTGAGAATTGAAACCGTTGGGTCGAGCTCGATTTGAGTTTCTTTTTCCGGCCGCCGATAAAATCGGTGGGCTAGATTAATCCGGGGAGCCCTTAAGTAGTTGAGGGACAACTTTGGTGGGCGAGGCGATGGGTGCTTTTTTAAGGGGTGGTTCTAGTACTAGATAATCCCAACTTGAGGGGAGGATTTATCCATGCTGATAAGGGGGTTCGACTGAGCTTTTTGCTCCGGTTTGGGGGTTTTAAAGTTCTTAGGGCCAATCACACCCTGACAATTTGCACGCGGGTCCGATTTGTTTCTAGAGCGAAGCTTTGGACGTTAGGTTTTAACTTAGAGGCCCCCACCTCATTAAACCTATTTAACTTAAAGCTTCTGTGTTAAGGTACCGGAAGTTCTGCACGCCCCACTACCAGGACTTCCACGGTAAGCTACACGCTTGTCCTAACCGTTGGAAAGATGTCCGCTTAACCGACGGGAAGCTATTCGAGGCTAACGAGCGCGAGGTTCCCGAGCAGGTAAAGTCTAACCTTGGGCCCTTAAATCTGTAAAATGTAGGTTAAGCCCTTTTTTAAGCTCTTTGGTTTTATTTGAGCTCGCCTATAACTTGTAACGCTCACCAACCTTCGGTATGGTATCTTCGACGTGGGTTGGAATACTGTCAGTCCGTTGGGTGATAGCCGTTGCGTTGTCAACCCCGTTGAACTTCTTTGGCAAACCGTACGGGTATTTAGTTTCGGTTAACGGATCGGCAAACCGTACGGGTATTTAGTTTCGGTTAACGGATTGGGGTTTGTGGTGGGGTGTAGCTTCGTATACGCTCCATCACGTATGTTATTTAGAGCTTTTTTAAAATTGGCATAGCAGGGCGAACTAGCCTGGGGAAATTGAGCCCCATGGCATACCTCAAAAGCTTCAAACTTTAGGGCTAACTCTTTTAAGCACGCGTTATATATGCCGAACATGCAGCTGGTACCGCTGAGCCCGCACCTCGAAAAGTTCAAAGCTGGCCAATCGAAAGTGGAGCTGATGGACCAGCTTGCCGGGAAGCTCACCCTGGTCACCTTCTACCTGACCCAGTACGGGGAGGCCCAGTGCCGGTCCTTCGTTTCGCCGTTCCAGGCGTTGGTGGGGGTGAAGCCCCCGGATCTACAGTTGGTGGAGGTAAGTGGCTTATCGGTAGGCTCGTCCTGCGTTTGGCTTGGGTTGATCTGATACCGGCTGTAACTTTAAAGTTCAGCTATTTTAAGGTTTAGCTTCGGTTTGCAGGGTATTATAGCGTATGCTTTATAACTTTAAGCTGATGGCAACGCTGCTAGATCAACGTCGCCGAGAGGTTCTTCAACGGGCTGCTCCTCCGGCTGTTCGCGTGGCGGATCCGTAGCCAGCTACCCGAGGCCCGGCAGGTAGTTAAGTTGAAACTTGGTTAAAGGTAGGCCAACTATTATCTGAGGTACGGCAGCCTCGAGGCGATCCGGGAGAAGCTCGCCATGGTGAACGCGTTGATCGGGTACGTCTTCCTCGTCGATAGGGACCTTAAGGTGCGGTGGTACGCGAACGGCGAGGCCACCCCCAAAGAAATCGAGGCTATGACGGCGATCGTTGCCAGGCTAAGCGGCGTGGAGGTTAAAGTCAGGGTTGATCAATCGCCAGGCCTAGCGTCGCAGGGGCCACCGTAACTTATACATGATTAAACCATCAAATATAGGGGCAGCTGATAAGCGTTAGATTTTTTATCCGGGGTTCATGGTAACTTTTGGTTGAAAGGCGGTTCTGTATCGTTTAAACTCGTCAACTACCATCAACTCATCGTCGATCTAACTCCCAGGACGTACCCCCTCGCCCTTTACCATCTTTTTTTTTAGTACTAGATGGTCCCCGCCCTTTACCATCTTGAGGTTGTGAATATCACGATGGCGTATTTTAACGGGTGAGTGGTTCTTATCGGTTCGGAATTCATATAAAGTTGATTCGAGTAGCCCTATTATAAGAAATAAACGGTAGGGCGAAGTGATATCGGTGGCCATAAGATCAACTATGAGGTACACCCTAAGATGTACTTCACGGCATAAGTACAATTGGGTTATTGCCTCTTTATCAGACCTAAGCTGGATGCGCGTAGCTACCCACCGCAAATGAGCTCCCCCTAGATTATTTAAAAGCCGTAGCTTCGTTTAAGTTTGGGTCGCCACCAGAACCCGACAAATCTTTTGGGTGGAGCTGGAATGGTTCGCTTAATGAGGTATATTCGGTTAAACCGAATTCTAAAAAAGCAAACGAGGCGGAACGACCTTGGGACAAATATACCCCACCGAGATTTTTTTATAGCCAGTACAGGTTTCGAACTCAAAACCTGCACTAGAGTGGAAGCAGGAATTACCCTGCCAGTCTAACCGCTCTCTTAAACCGAATGCTAAGCTTGATACTTGCGAAGCCAGGTATCGGCACTGATCCCATGTTGGCGTGTAGTTAGAATCGACTTAGTTCAAACTGGGGTCGAGCTTGACGAGGCTTTTAGATTGGGCCGAGTGATCGATACCGCCTTAACCCATTTACCCCAACTATAATAAACCGGGTTAAATCCAAACCTAACCTATAATTTTTGGGTGAAAGGTTCTATAAGCTCAACAGTTCGAGTCCCTCATCGTAAAATAGGGTCCGCAGTTAACCTGTAGTGCCTTTTTTCAAGGATGTAAAATCAGTTTTTTTGGTCTAGTAGAGTTTACCCAACCCTCGTAAAAAGATTTTAGGTTGCGATCAGGGATTAGGAGCATCAAAGTTTACCATGTAAACCAGTTAGTGAGGGTAAAATCATTATAAACCCAAGCAAAGCTTGAGAAAACTTTTTTGAACTTTCCAACCAATCAACAACCAAAAACTGCCAACTTACCGAACCCAATTAACTTATCGAATTAATCAATCCCTAACCGATTACTAAACCTATCGAGATTATTAATCAACCCAAACCCACCAACCGCTTGGTAAAACCATTGAACCATCGAATCAACTGAATTTCAAACTGCTCAATCGTAACAATCTACCGAATACCATCGAAAACTTATAGGATTTTCACCCGTTACATATAAAACCTTTTACTTTGGCTATTAAAATCAAATTTTTAGATGGGTTAATGTATTGTCATTGACGATACATAGGTGTGCCAAATTTCAAAGCTCTAGCTAGTCTAGAAGGTCGTTAAAAATCAAACGCAAGGTTCCATCATAGGCTGACCACCACAGCGAGTTGAGAAAAACGGTTAAAAAAGGTCACGCCGAGGGTCAAACTCGGATCACAGGAATCCGAATCCTGGGTGCTAACCATTACACTACATTTTTAAAAAAATATTCAGCAGTAGCTGGACCCACCCCACATGACAACCACCTATAACTTCCTCTTTAACACCATACCATTAAATAACGGTAGGTGGGGTTGGAGAAATTTAAGTTCATCCTAGCCAGAACAGTTTCAACCCCATTACACCATCTCTACCCCACCCTAACTTGTAATTACAGGTGTGAATAACCATTCCAATACAAGGCACCGGTTAATCGATAGCCTTTTAGCTTGATGGCAGACTTGGAACCTTTATCGGAAGCCTCTAATTTCTTTACTGAGGGTAATTAAGATTCATAGATATTTTTATATCAATGTAAAGCTATAGATAAAAGGGTGAGGGATGATAACGAGGACAGTTAAAAGATCTGAATTTAAGATGGAATTAGAAACCCCTCACATCCTACCATACTGGAACAGCCTTACTGATGCTTAAGGGCAAACATGGCCACTGGCCTAACTAAATCAGATCAAGTATCTGATAAGCCCTTTAGATATAGTATGAATCCATACTTAATGATCACGTTACGCTGGTTTATAGTTGACCAATTAAACCTGGGTTCAGGTAAATATCTTAAGGTAGGTTTAAACCTATACATATAGTAGATCTTAAACCATCTACTCTTTGTATTCAGTCAGGATAAATTGGCCGATTAAATCATCTGTTTTAAAATTCACCCATTTTAAACCCATACAAGGTAATAGAAGTTTAGCACCGTTTAAATCCAATCATAAGGCTCGTCCCTATATTACTACTAGGTATGATAGTGGTAGTATTAAACTCTAAGTTAACAACCACCTTAAAAGCAATGAAGTCAATATCCAAGGGGTTTTTTAGCTTTGAATAGGGATCTACAAAACCTCAAAGTTATCTGCTAATGATAAAATATACACTACCCATCCAATTAGTAATATCTGTACCATCAATCTACCTTTTATCTATATAACCTATTAAAAATTGTAGATATTAAAAGGTCAGTATTTTGTTAGCTTAATCAACTATATAGAAACTGATCATCTTGTGTCACCAAATGGACCCCAGTAAATCCAAAAAACCCCACCTAGCCACCCAATCCAGCCCACTCATATGCCAATCAACCTATCATCTTCAACCAAAATCCCTGGGATTATTTGGAGGAAGTCGATGATTTGGGAAATTCCATACCCAATTCAGTTGAGGCCCCAGGCCTTGAAATATACCTAAATGCAGAATATGCAGCTCAATTCCCAACTCGCCACTATGCTCTATACTCAGACGCGGATGAATTCCAAAGTGACCACCAACTCACCAAAGAGGCTGTTGCCTCCACTGATTGTCACCCCCTCTGAAAGGCCATAGCAAAATTAGTCACAGTCTTGGCCAAGGGAGTACCCGCACCTATCCTTCCCCCCAAGCAACAAATTCATAAAAAAATTCCTCCAATTCCAACAAGTTGCCTACAAGGCAGTACAAAAAGTTGTGAGGGCCACAAAATTTGGCCCTAGACCTACATTACCAGTAACAACATTGTCAACTTTACCATGCTACCCAAAGTTTGCCTCGAGGCTGAAAAGCCCTTTCTGAATATATCACACCCTTCCTTATAGCCAAATTTGAGCTTCCCAAGCCACTTTTCTATATTGACCCCCCATTTTGAGGATGCACCCATGCCCGTGCTCTCAGTGCTCTTCTGTACACTGTCCAACACAGAGGAGGAAGATGAGCCTCCTATTCCTGAATCACTTTTCACCATGGATACATAGTGGTTTACCACATCTGACCTGGTTAATTTTAGTTTTTATTTTATTTTTGTTTTTTTGATTCAGCTTGAGAAATCCATTCATTTATTTCGGTTTGTTTAAATTCTAGTGTAGTTTTTGCTCCTCAGAGCTTGGTGATGTCTAGTCCTTGGTCAGCTTGCCTCAGTTAAAATAAAAAATCACCCTGTGTCACCTAGGAATCATTTAACCCACCTACAATGCTTAGAGATCATAGATACCAGCCTCAAAGTGGTCAGCACATAAAAATCTTTGGGTAAGCGTTATGAGAGTACAGGATATACTGGACCATCATGTTATACTGATTAGGAATAGTGATCATCTGGAAAGATGCACAGATTTGGTGTAAAACTTACAGATAAACTTGAGCTCCTTTATAGTTTAGAAGATTGGCCGGATTGGACACTAGCTAGTGTCCAATCTTGCAAATGTAGTAAAAGGTATCAGGTTAGGCTGAACCTTTGAGTGAGAATTTATAATCAAGGGGATGGGAGGATCACCCTTTTATAGCTTTTAAAATTGATAATGTTTCATTGACATGGATTAATCTAATTTTAACATATGGAATATAAGTCTGGAAATCCAACACTTGGGATGTACCATAAAGGGTCCCTTATAGAATTAAGAAGGGACCTAATGGTGGTCTAATTAGGGTAAGCTGGGGCCTCTGCGTGGTGCAACTGGGGAAATCCTGTGGACTATGGGTGTGTAGCTAACACCAGAACACAGAGAGGCACGTTGGTCAGGTCCTGTAGTGGCCTGAAAGAAGTGTGGGATGGTAGTGATGACTGTGTCAATCTGTTCTTGTGGGTGTCTACCACTACCTGAGGGGAGAATATGGGCAGGAAGGGGGGGTAAGAGTTGGGCAAGGTGCCTGTCAAATGGCCTTTACACAAGCTGGGGTTGTGCAAGTGTGGACCTCAGTATAAGGGAGGGGCAATCCTGGTTGCCTGCACTTTGATGCACCTGCCTACAATAAATGCCACAGTTTGCTGAGTTGGCCTGAAGCTCAGCTAGCTGCCAGTTCAGTTGGCATGAGCCAGATGGTAGCAAAATGGATAGTGCAAGAAAATTAAGGCTGATTTGAAAGGACTTTAAGGCTTCCTGGACAAAAAGGGGCCGTAGAGCATCATCTCCGTTAAAAGAATGCAGGTGACAAAGGGGTAGGCTTCAGCTTCTTCACCCCCAGGGCCTTAAACCTGGGGGTCTTTGGGTAAATCCCCCGCAAGGGGGACAAGAGGCATATAGCCTGTCCTGGCTGGTGCAGATGAGCTTCCCAGTACTTAAA